ATTTAATGATGGACGTGCCCACAGAAACACAGGAAAAACAAAGGTTAGTACTTCAGGCAAATTACAAATTAGTTTCTGAGTTTGGAGAGCAGCTGGCTGAGTTTCTAGATATTGGGTTTGGAGCGTCTTCAGGTGGGGCGACTGCAGGCCACGGTGATCTAACCCATCTTCCTGGTTTGCAGTGCAAACGTCTCCAGTAATTTTTCTAAGCAGCCACATGGCAGCAGACACAGAGACTGTCCACACACCAGCTGTTGTGGCGATTTCTCCGAGGTTGACATTAAGGAGTCAAACTTTTGGTCGCACAGCTCTGGGACGGTTTTCGTTTCATAGTGATTCTGAGTCAAGAGAGTGGGGGAACTGGAGATGATAGCTTGGAGCATTCTAGCCAAATTCTGGAGGATACTGGAATTCAGGATCTAGTCCCATCTATAGCTGTAAAACAAAACCTCCAAGACAAGAAACAGCACTAGAATCTGATATCCCCAAGGACTGTTATTATTGAAACACAATTTTTCTCTCTGTAATCATCTCCCATTTCTATCAAAGATAACCATAGTAAGGCTAATTTGTTCACAAATTAAGACCAGCTTCAATAGGCTCAGTCCAATTATTTATACAAGTTCACAAGAAGAGTGATCGATCATATAGATGCTTTTAACTCTGCTTTGCTGGAACTTTTCACAAGGAAACTCAGATTGGACTTTCAAGAACCTCTCCAGGCCAGGAAGCTAAGCCAGTTATGTCCTGTTATCGGGAGAACAGATTATTATCCAGCCAATGCTAACACGCATATTGTCATGAAAAATAAGAATATTTAATAAGAGTTTCTGAATTCTGGGGGTGCCTGGGTGGCTCAGTGGGTTACAGCCTCTGCCTTCGGCTCAGGTCATGATCCCAGGGTTCTGGGATCGGCCCCGCATTGGGCTCTCTACTCAGCGGGGAGCCTGCTTCCCCTCCCCCCCACCTGCCTCTCTGCCTACTTGTGATCTCTCTCTCTGTCAAATAAATAAATAAAATCTTTTAAAAAAGTAAGAGTTTCTGAATTCTGGAGGATCAGATAGGTGGAAAAAAGAAATAGGTTTCAACCCCTGCTGTAAAGAACAACTTTACCAAATTGCTGTACATCACAGATAGCTTAAGACAGAGGAGAAAAGGGGTCCTTTACACCCAGAAAACAAGACACCAAAGAACCAGCAGTGCTGTAATCCAGGTCATCCAAATTACAGTCCTCTCCATCCCTTCATCCCATGTTTTGTAATCAATTTTTGCTTTGCTTCATCTCGGGGTAGTGGCTTTATGAATCAATCCGTTTTCCATTAAAGTTTTAGAAATTCTCGCTCAGTTCAGTGCTACGGTCTTGAGGTTATCAGAAGGGCTGCATTCTAGAATGCTTGTCAGAATCTTTCCTGGGAATGTCTTTGGAAAAGTAGCATTTTTTGCTGGAACATTTTTGCAAAAGCATCAGAGCAAAACGATGAGTGTCTATAAATGGCAAAAAGACTTAAAATGGCCATGGTTAAAGATCTGTGAGAATTTGTTATAATGCCATTGACAAGAAAGGTTGGTTATTTCTGTGATACATTTTAAAACAGTAACTAGAATCATGATGGATAAATTATAGCAGGACATGTCAGGTTTTCAAGAATCTCATAGAATTTCTGGAATGCATATATTCTTAACATGTATTTGTACAAATGTAAGCTAAAGAAAGTTTATCTTCACATCTTATTTGACAACGTTTCTCGTGTAATATAACATATCAAATAAGCCTAATTAGTTCAGCATTTTTCTGTTATAAGGAGAGAGAACAAAGATAGTCCAGGGGCCCTTTTTAAAATCCCAAAGTTAGTTTGAGGTCAAAAGAACTTTATTTAGAATTTGGTTTTTGTGGGATGTCTGGTGGCTCAGTCCATTAAGCATCTGGGATTGGGTCATGATCCCGAGATCCTGAGATCGAGTCCCACATCCGGCTCCCTGTTCAGTGGGAGTCAGCTTTTCCCTCTGCCACTCCCCCTGCTTGTGCTCTCTCTCTCTGTCAAGTAAATAAATAAAATCTTTCGAAAAAGAGAACATGGATTAAAATAAACAAACAAAAAAAGAATCTGGTTTTTGAGAAGTTTGTCAAAAATAGCCCAAGGGTTAAAACACTTGCTCAGATAGCATCACAGTTCGCCATGAAAACAGTGCCTAGTCATCCATTGGTACCAAAGTGACAGCTAAAAATTTCAAAAGCAAATACAGAAAGTTACTGAGTTGCAAAAATGACCTTAGTTCTTTTAATAGAGAAGACTCAGTTGTTTTTTTCTAGGTAATCAAAGACTTGGTAAAGACAATGTTAAGTACAGGAAAATTATATTCCTAAAATACAGAATCTTTGTTTCATTCCTAAAATACAGAATCTTTGTTTACATTAAAAGTAAAGGAATCCTTTGTTTAAAATTTCTGATTAGGGGCAGACAGATAACCTAAAAGAAAATTTTGTGATTTTAACCAAGGAAAAACCAAATTCTAACTTTGTACCAGTGTACTTTTGATATTAAAAATCCTTTTTTTTTTTTTAATTTAAGTGCCCAACATGGGGCTTGAACTCATGACCCCAAGATTAAGAGTCACTCACTCTACTGACTGAGCCAGCCAGGCACCCCCTAAAATTCTTTTTTTAATTTTTTTGAGGTTAAATAAATCCATTCCAATCTTAGCCCGCTTGACCACACATTAAATTGCTTTTTCAAGATCTTTTTCCACAAACCTCTTGCAACTTTCTATATCCATTTAGGTTTTTCCTATCTTTTTCCTTTCTTATTCCAGAATAATCATTTTGCTCTAAGACGAAATTACTTTCTTGTTCCTTTACCAACATCCACTGCCACCCCCAAAACCAGAACCAAAACCAAAACAAAACAATAACAACAAAAACCCATGTCTTTTTTACTTTTTTCTGTCCAAAAACTCATTCGGAGACAAGGGGATGCATTCTTTAATGGGCATGCTTAAGCTGCTAGAAGAAGAAAGGACTCCAAAACACAGCTCCAGAGGGGTCCTCGCAGGATGCAAAATAGAGAATGTTTCACAAAACCCCTTGGCCATCTGGGCAAGTATGCACACTGAGGTTGGAGAGCTTGGAACACCAGAGAGCAGAGCTCAGATCTGAGAGACTCACCTGCAAACCTCAGGGTTGGCGAGAAAGCACTGAGCTCTGTGGGCTCTGTGGGAGCCAGGACCTGTCTGCACAGCAGCCTTGGAGTCATTGTGTGTGGGGGGAGGGGGAGGATTTTTTTTTTAATCCCACTTCTGACACCATGAAATGTCAAAAGTTGCCACATAACAGAAGGAAAACCAACAAATCACCCAAGTAGGACTTACTAAGTATATGGTACACACACCAAAAAGACACTTGGCTAGCTGGGAGCACTCCCATGGAAAGAAGGGGCAGGACTTAGGGGAGCCAGGAGCAGTCCCACCAGAACATGGGGCACAGCCAGGGGAACCAAGAGCGCTCCCACCAGGCATGGAGTGGGACTCTGGGCTCACACAGCACCTTCCGTGGTAAGAGCATAGTGAGTGCTCTGTTCATGGGGTTAGTGGTTATCATACCAGAAGTTTCCTCCATGACAGGGACCTGGGTCGTGATTCTCTCCCGACAACCTTGAGAAGCAGTTTCGGTTTTGCTTATGATTTGCAGAAGCAGGGGTATGACCTGGGTCATCTTAGACTTGCAGAATAAGCTCAATGACGCTTTCAATGACTAAACTGATTTTGTCTGTTCAGGGACTTTTCCAGGGTAGTCTCCGCTTGTTTTGGATTTTAACAGAAGGGACCTCTCCCCAGCTTTGTCCTCTACCTGGGACAGAACCAGGCTACTCCCTTCTGGAGCCAGGGGCACTGTTCTTGGCTTGCCTTTGCAACCATGAGCTGGGGCTCTAGCCAGGCACTCTTCTGCAGGCCCCTGGGGCCTTGGAGTCCTTCGTGTTGAGGCCCTGGGCCAAAGCTGTTTATCACCGTACCTATAGAAGAGAAATAATTCTCTTTATCCTCTTCTTTTTTTTTTCCAAGATTTTATTTACTTATTAGAGAGAGCGCACAAGCAGAGGGGAAGGGATAGAAGGAGAGGGAGAAGCAGACAGGGAGCTAGATACCAGACTGGGTCCCAGGATCCTGGTATCACGACCTGAGTGGAAGGCAGACACTTGACTGACTGAGCCACCCAGATACCCCTCTTTACCCATTTCTTGATCAACAGAGGGAAATCAAAGGACAGATGGGGATGTCCCTGGGGGGCGCAATGCCAGCTGCCCTTTCCTCACTTGTGGGCCTGTGGCCCTGGAACGGGGGTGTGTGCACCGAAATGCGTCCACTCCTCTCTGGTCAGAGCACTGTCCCCTGGGGCGTGAACTCCAGCTGGACTCCTCTGGGGAGCCGCAGGTTCGCGCTGGGACCACCGCTGGGGACAGCAGGGAGACATGGGAATGAGAGAATGCGCCGTCGGGGAAGTGGGGCTCCAGAGGAGAGCAACGCGGCTAGGGCGCGCTGTGGTGGGAAGTGCGGGTGCTCCCTGGTGGGCTCACTTAGTGGGGACGACTGTCATCACGGGGTGGGGGGCGCTCAGGACACCTGAGGGCACAGGTTGCAACCGCCCGCCTACCACAGGCGGGGCAGCGGGGCTGGAGCTCCGCAGACGAGGGGCGGGACCCAGCGGTGGGCGGGGCCGAGAGCAGGGCTGGGCGGTGGCGGGCGTGGCGCGCGGTGGGCGGGGCGGCGGGCAGGCCCGGCGGCGGCGCGCGGTGGGCGGGGCGGCGTGACGCGCGCCGACGCCGATCCCGGAAGCGGTGTCAGATGCTGGGGAGCCGGGCGGGCGGGCTGGCGGCGGGCGGCGGGGGGGACTTGTTGTTCTTCGAGAAGTCGGAGCCCCAGAGCGCGGCGGAAGCGGCGGCCGAAAAGGAGCGCGAGAGTGAGCGCGAGCGCGAGGAGAGCGCGTGCCCGCGAGGAGCCGCCGCGCGCCCGCGCCCCCCGCGCGACTCCAGGTGAGGAGCGGCCGCGCGGGGCTGGGCCGGGCCGGGTTGGGGGCCGGGGGCGGGGCGGGGCGGGGGCGGTTCGGGGCCGGGGCCAGCGCGCGGCTGAGTCACCGCCGCCTTGGACCCGCGGCGAAGTTGGGCGGGACCCCGGCCCGCGCACCTGCCGTCAGGTGCCCTGCCTCGAGCGCGTCGCGCGGGCCGGGGACCTCTTTCTCAGGCCCGGGAGCGCGCCCCGACCCCCGGGCAACCCCGAGCTAGAGCGGGAGACGGTGTGTCCTCCCGGGGGCCGCGCTGGGGGAGCCCGGGGCGTGCCGGCGGGCCCGGCGCCCCCTGTCGAGCCCCCCACCGCCTGCTTTGGCTTTAGCCCTGGGAGATGCGCTCCGAGGCGGGAAGGCGGGGGTTGAAAATAAACGGCCACGTGCAGGGGAGCGCGTGGTCGCGCAGGGCCGACCCGGCCGGTGCTGCCCTGCCAGGCGGTGGCTTCCCACCCGCCCTCGGCGGGGATGGGAGAGAGGGCGGGAGCGCCAGGACTAGGGGACTCAGGACCGATGTCGCGTTCAGAGCAGCTGACCTGCCAAGGGTTCCCCGGAGGGAGGCCTTAGTGTGGAAGCTTTGGGGTGGGGAGGGGGGGCAGGGCAAACGTGTCACTTTCCCTAAACCCCACGGCCTGCGGTCTCATCTTCCCCACCTGAGAGTGGGGGTCTCCATCTCTCTCAAGTCCAGCTGCGGGTTCTTCTGTGACCCTGCTGAGTTGTGGAGACGTGGTGTGCCTGCCCGCTGGCTTCCGCAGGGGTCCCCGGGAGGCTGGGAGGGGTCCCGGGCATGCTTCACTCTCCACCTAATTCTAAGGTGCTGCAGACCGCTTTGCCTTGTGTCTGTCATGGTGTTCTCGCTGGCCACGTGTTGTGAAGTCTTTTCACAAAGCGGTACACAGTTGTGGGGCAGTTGGTGTTTGGGGTTGCTGGAAGCTCCCTGCTCTCCCTGTCCTGCAGTAATGATTGTGTTCTTGTTTACCTTTCACGCTGCTCTCCCGGGCCAGGCAGGAATGCTCCATGCTGAATGAATTGTTAGTGCGGGAAGGTCCCCACGCTCAGCCGCCTTCTCTCGCCAGGAGCCTGGCCTCAGGAAGCTCCCACGGCTGGTGCACCCACGCCCCGTACGGCAGATAGAATCAGTGGCTTCCTGAGCCGGTGTGGCTTGGCCGCCCAGCCTGGCCGCCCTCTCCTGTCCCCGCTATTGGCATTGGCGCGGTTTTGTTGCTCCAGCCCTCACGGCCGAGCACAGCTGTGTGCCCTGGGAGCTGGGCCATCTCCGAGCACCCTGCCTTCTGGGGTGGGGCTTTTGAAAGTGGCCCTCTAAGCAGGTGGGAGGGGTCTGGGAAGTTTAAGGTGGGCTGTGCAGGTGGGTGAGGCACACCTCCAGCCTTGGTTGCTTTGTGGGTAGCTGACACCTTTTGGAGAACATCCCTCCCTGGGCAGCCCAGTAGGCATGTTTGCTCGAGGGGGAGGTCTGCTTTCAGAGCCTAGCGCTGGTCCTCTCGTGATCCCAAAATACAGTCCCTGACTCAAAAACACATGCAGGGCTTCTCTTCGGAACACGTTTACTTTCTGTGCTTGAACGTAGCTGGACTTTGAGGGACGCGATCCAAGTTCAGCCCCACTCACTCAAGGTGGTTGCTAAAAATGGGAGTTGAATTGGAGCTACTCAGGGAAGCCGTTTCCGGGGCTTGCTGCGTCCCAGCCCTGTCTCCGGGGCCCAGCTGCCCGAGTGAGCTTGCTTTCCTGACCCACCGTTTTCCCTCCGCATGTCCGTGGCCCCACACGTGCCCGTTCTGGGGGCTCCGGGACCTGGAGAGTCTATGAACCGGCTCCTGGCAGCGGAGGAGTCCAGCCTGAGTCCTGGCTGTTCCCGAGTCTGAAGGTTTCTGGAGTGGACTTGCTGGCTTTAGGGTCCAGTCCACACGGGAAATGGAACCCGGCAGCTGTGAGCTTCTCTGTGTGGCTGCTCCAAGCAGTAAACAGTGACTCACCCTCCCCTCTGCTCCCCGCCTCCCTGCTCCCGGCTGCTGGAAGATGCATGGCTCCCGTGTTTACTTTTGCTTTTTGTAAGTCACAGACTCGTCATGTTTCCTCTTTCTTCCAGTTTCAGGAAATTGAAAGTGTTCTCTTCAAGTCATAGATCCTTAGAACAGGTGGAAATAAATGTAGGGATCACACAGTACACCTTCCCGCACCCCCACTTTAGATGAGGACACCGAGCCCGGAGCCTCCCCACCTGGCCTGTGGTGGCAGAGTCTGATATCCGGAGGGTGGGGAAGCGCCCTGCCTGCTTTCCTGCGCCATGTGTGGGCTGCCCTGGATGAGGGGAGCCAGGAGGTCCTGAGCTGGGGTGCCCCCAATCCCCTCCCTTCGGTGCAGTGCTGGCATGTGTGCTCAGGTGGCATGCCTCTCCCTTGAGGAGAGTTGAGGGGAACAGGTGTAGTTAAGAATGTCCCCTGCCCTCCATCCAGCAAGGGAGGCAAACCTGGGACAGAAAGACGAGGACTAAGTTCTGGGCTCAGCCTTGATGTGTCCTTGTGAGAGGGTACCTGCCTACCACAGGGAGGGCAGGAGGGGGCCTTCTGGTGAAGCAAGGGTTGGGGGAAGACGGTGGGAGCCCAGCACTGATCGTGGAGGCTCTGGAAGCCAGAGGTGGGGGCCTGGAGGCAACAGGTGGCCAGGGGCGTGAGGGGCTCAAGAGGGCCTTCGGGCAGGGGTTTCTTCTACCTGCTCTGGGGCCCTCATTTGAGGGACCACGGCCCAGACAGAAGCAGCCAAGGCCTGAGCCAGGTAGCGCTGGAGGGCCAGAGCCTCTGCAGGGAGATGGGCTGAGGCTAGCCAGCCAGGCTCAGCAGGTGGACATGGAAGGAGAGGTGAGGCATAGGGGATGATTTCTGCATGAGTGGAATGATGGGTCGTCATGCACTGGAGACACAGGAGGCGGGCAGGTATGGGGACAGGGCGCATCTCCGGGGCCTGTCAGACATGTGGGCTGTGTAACCTTGGCTGGATGTGGAGGTTGGGGTTGGTCGAACCCCTGGGCAGCCATGGCATGGACAGAGCCCCAGAGTGGAGCCTGGAGACGGGAGGACCACCCTGAGGGTTCCCGGGGGAGTGAGGGGCTGGGGTGTGGCCAGGGAGGTCCAGCAGTCAGCCTGCTGTCAGCCTAGCAGCCGCCTGAGTCACCTCCAGACAGAGCCAGGATGACACAGCTTCCTCGAACTGCAAACGCAAGGTGACCAGACGTCCTCCAAGCCAGGCAGACAGTCATGTCTTGGCGGAGGGCGGCCAGCCAGGGCCAGCCTGCGGACTGGGTGTGGGCCGGGCTGGTGGGGTACACCCCCACATGGAGGGGAGAGGGGTGGGAGGTACGATCCCTCCTGGTCCTGAGACCTATCTTCAGTTGGGTGAGGCGTCAGCTTGGGGGGCAAGCTGTCTCTGTCACCCTGCACTTGTGGGACACGGGCCCACTGTGCAGCCAGCTGGGAGGGGCGCCCAGCTTTGGGTCTCCCCGAGAAGGCCCACAGCCCCCCAGAACAGAGGTGGTCACATCATGGTGGCATCTGGCTTTGGGGTTTGCACCCATCAGGGTGAGTCAAGGTGCTTGTTTTCTGCGAGGCGCAGAGATCTGCTCCAGGACAGAACCTTTTTCGTCCCTTCCCATTTTCCTCCTGCCCTTCTCCCTCTCCCCAAGGAGACCCCCTTGGAGAGCTGGGAGAGCGGGCGTAGAACAGTTGCCTGGGAGGGCTGGAGGGGGCAGGCACGGGGAGCGGCAGTCACCTTCACTCCACACAGAACAAGAATGAGAGTTTTTGAGAGCCCACCCTGCGGGGTATGGGCTTGTCCAACCAAGGTAAGGGTCAGAGCCCTGTCAGACTCCAAAAGCCCCTTTTCTGTGACATCCTCTAGACCTTGGGCTGTCTAGGTGGGGCCGTTGTGCCCATCAGCTGCCTGGCTTTGCGGGTGGACCAGATGTCCCCTCAGGGTCCCGAACCTGAATCCAGCCCAGTGAGGTCCAGAGCGCACTGCGGATGGCCTGGGCGCTGAGTCGCCCCAGATGAGCTGAGTCAGACAGTGGGCTAGCAGTCAGTGTTTGCTAGGGGATGCAGAATCGGGGATCCTTGCCTCTAGCTCACCTGGCCCTGGGAAAGCCCTTCTGGACTATTGAACCTGGATGACCTGGCCCGTTCTTTGCGCAGCCCGAAGGGAGGACTCCCTAACTTGTTCCCAGCTGTGCCGTCCCCAGAGTTGACTCCCCATCTAGACTGCTGGTCCCTTTTTTCTTTTTTAGCGCCGTCTTTCCCTTGACTTTGTTTAGCTGCACACCAGGCCTTGGGTTGAAACCAGTCTCCCTCAGTCAGGAGAGCAGTCCCCCAGAAGGTGTTTCGAGCTCTCAGGGCTGACCACGCAGCCCTTCTGACCAGCAGCGTCCCCACGGCTGTGGGAGCAGAGTGTGGAGGTTCACGCTTGCCTTCGGGGGTGTCCCTGCCTGACTCTGGCCGTGGAGCTGCTCGGGAGGCGACTTTACTGGAGTTCAGGAAAGCCCATGGGGAGCACGTGCATGCGTGGCTGAGGTTCTGTCAGTCAGTGGTGGCAGGACTCGGTGCCCGCAGTGTCCTCTCATGCAGCTGCTGGAGAGGTGGGCGCCGGCTGGTGGCTGCGGCAGAAGGGGCAGCGGTGTGGCTGGCGCTCTCGCCCAGCCTGTCGGGGCCTCGGTCTTTCAGCCCAGCTGGGGTCTGGCTGAGGCCGGAAGGTAGTTCCTCCTGCACGCGCTCTGGCAGCCGCGAGGTTGCATGAGGTTCAGGGCTTTACATGCGCCGTTCGAGGGCAGTTGTTCTAAAATCAGTGGTTGTACAAACTCGCACACGTTTGAAATGTGTTTCTGAACCTGTTTTCAAAAGCAGACTGTTGGGTTTTTTGCCTTGCGTGTTAGCAGGGACCTCAGGTCACCGCTGTCTGTATTTGCCGGGCCCGGCAGAGGGGCGTGATGGTGCGGCGTCTGCCCATGTACTGAGCTTAGGAGAGATTGGGCAGTGCCCGGCCTACTCCTCACTCCCCGAGCCATCCAGCATCTGGTGGGCAGGGGGCCGTGGGACAGTGTCTGCCCCTGCCCGGGACTTGCCCACCCATGTCAGGGTTTCTGGTTTCACCGGGGGTTCCCGGTGCAGGCCCCAGGCCCCTGGGGGTTGGGTGGAGCCTCCAGTCAGGGTCTATCCTGACATCACCTGCTCTGCCCAACCAAGGTTGCAAGCTGGAGAGAACCCTGGGACCCCTAGTTCCCATCCCCTCATTTTCAGAGGAGGAGAATAAGGCCTGTGGAGAGAAGAGCTTTATGGCTTGTCCCCCAACTTTGTCTCAAGGCGATGATCACCTCCATGTGTACTCCCATTTGCTCTTAGGCCTCACGTCGCTCTTGTTGAATAGGAGCTCTGAGGACGGCTGGGGGTCCCCAGAGGTCAGACCCCAGTGTGGCACCCTCCCACAGAGAGAGGTGTCCCTCCTCGCTTGGACCCCAGGTGGGCCCCAGGGCCACTCTTCTCCCATCTATGCCGGGGCTGTCATCTGTGTCCTGTGCCCAGAAGGCAGATGGGGTGCAGAGTTGGTGGACATGGGGCTTTGCCCAGGTGACTTCAACCTTGCAGACATAGCCAGTGGACCCTCCTGGGGCCTCTGCAGAGGGGAGGGGGCCGAGCCTGTGGAGTGCTGTGGCCCTGTCCCCTGACCGTCCTGGTTGCCTGGACATCCCCCCAGGCACTGTCATGGAGGGCAGGTTCTCTGAGGAGGTGTACCCGCCCTGAATGCAGCCCCATGCCCCGGGTGCTGACTGAGCGGGCCCGCCGGTGTGGGGAGGCACGGATGCCCCTGCTGCTCGGGGTCTGAGCGGAGGTCCCTCCTGTGCTGGGGCCTCCCTGTTCTCGTCAGGCGGGCTGGGCGGTGCGTGCGGGGTGGGAGGGCCTTCGGTCTGTGGGAATGTGAGCTCCTCGCTCTGTAAACAGCCGTGACTCACCGCACAGCTATGTGCTGGCTGCTCCAGGCCCTGTGCGCTGACGTGTGCTGGGATGACACCCAGCCCGTGGAAAAGTTTCTCAGGGCTCTCCCAGCTGCCTGGCTCCTGCCGGCCCTCCAGGTGGTCTATCTGGCACAGTAGGACCCCTGCACCTGGAGGGAGGAGTGCTGGTTGTGGCCCCCCCACCACAGAGGCTGGGGGTCAGGCTGCTGTCAGGAGGCAGCTCCTGGTCCCTGCTGCGGTTCCCCCATGCTGCTGCATGTCTGTGTGTCTGTCTCATGCACATGTGTGGGGGGCGCAGGGGAGCTGGGAGCCCCCCGAGGGTGGGCCCCGCCCCGACCCTGCTGCGCTGCTCGCTGTCATCCAGTGGCAGCTCCAGGGAAAGTGGCCGTGTTGCCTGGGCGATGGGGGGGCCCAGTGGCCTGGGCACCGACACCCTCCGGTAACGGCAGGCAGGCAAGGTGCTGGAGGCAGGAGCAGTGGGAGTTGTGTCTAGGCCGTGCCACACGCCGGGGTCCCAGGGCTGTGGGCGAAAGAAGGCGAGGTGGAGACACCCACAGGAGTCCTGCTCACGCTGGAGATGGAGGCTTTGGTGAGGCTCATACCCCTCCTCCGCCGTGCGTTTCTCTGATGTTCTTTCAGCTCAGTTCATCCTGCCTGGTCCCTAACCCAGTGACAGAGTGTGCCAGCAAGTCTAGGGCCCGGTCCCCTCTGCCCACCCTCCCCCCCAGCCTCAGGGGCGCACGGGTTTGTTTACTTGTCCCACAACCTGTGATGTCTGTGCCGGCTGCCCAAAGCCATTGTTGCTGTGGGCTTCTCCGTTTCCATGACGACCATCAGGGGTTGGCTACGTCCCAAGGTCGCCATGGCAACTATCAGAGGGGAATCATGCTTGGGATGCTTTGGCTGGCTTTTTCATGAATGATTAGAATGTGTGACACAATGCAGACGCGAAAACTAGAAGGGCGGGCTACGGCGGGGGCTGGCGGGCGCCAGGGACAACTCCCGCCAGACGGTTCGTGAGCTCGCACAGTGGCGGCTCCCCACCTCCCGGATCCTGGCTTGGCCGCTGGAGGGGGACCCCGCCCACCTGGTGGGCCTCAGGTCAGGGCTGTGGGGCAGCCCAGGGCGGGTGGTGATGTCACAGCTGTGGTGCCCTGTGCAGAGGTAGGTTTGCTGGGAAGGGTGGGGCTGGGCCAGGGTGGGGGCGTGCTCCCCCCAGGGCCCCTTCCTCTCCAGCCAGGCTAGGTCAGGGGGACTGGGGGCTTCTGCCTGGGCAGGGTGCTGTCCTGGGGGCCAGCGACGCCCTTTAGGTGCTGGGTGCGGCCCATCTCGGGAGGGGGCTCTGCTGCTGTGCACTTTGGCCCTTAAACGTGGCATCCTGTGCCTCGTGGTGCCAGCGTCTCAGCTCCGAGGGAGAGAACAGGAAGTCACAGCTGCTCTCACCCAGTGGCCCCCAGGCGCTGGTGGCAGAGACCTGGCAGGCTGGGCGGCATGGGACTGTGGTGTGGCTGCTGGGCGCCTGGCCAAAGTGGGTCCGGCCGGGGGGGTCTGGGTTGCTCCACGGTCTGATGCTGGAGTGGGGGGTGTGGCCAGCTTGCCCACCCTGCGGGGAGTCCCTCAGCACTGGCTGGCTCCTATCTTGCTTTCGGGGTGACATGGAACGAGGAGATGAGCCTCCTCGGAGCCACTCTGCGGTGGGGATGTCCCCGCTTTAGGTCACTTGTGACGGCAGTAGGCCCTGTCCCCAGCCTGGCCAGCACCTAACCTCACTCATTTCTGTGTTCTTGTGTGATTTTCTAGTTCCAATTTCCAAGCCCTTCTGTTCGGGTGACTGTGCCCAGGTTATGACGACTAATCCCAAACCAAACAAGGCGTTAAAGGTAAGTGGGGGTGCGGGTAAGCAGGCCCCGTTTCTGTCGCAGGCTCAGGCCTAGGAAAGGTCCCTTCCGGCTCCAGCAGTGCCTCTTTCCCAGGATGGCCCGGAGTGTGAGGAAGGAAGCCCTGTTCCCTGAAAGGGGGCTGTCAGCTAGAAGACGTGTTATAGAGAAGTGGTGACAGAATTGGGGGTCGTGGCCTTGGGAGTGGGCAGCTCTGACATCTGAGGGGATCAGTCCTTGGGAGCGAGTGGTAGGGGTGGGTCCCCGTTGGCTAGGAGGTGTTCATCACGCCAGCTCCCAGGCATGGGCAGTGTGGCCTCCGTCCCGTGGAACCAGGGCCCAGATAGCACATGCCCGGGCTCCCGGGGCCCAGCTCTGGCCAGCCACAGTGTGTGCCGGCGCCTCGGGCCTTCCCCGCCTCTGGGGGAGTCAGCTGTCTCATCCTGGGAGCAGAGCTGGGTCTGGCGGGAGAGGGGGCTCTCCAAGCACGCCCAAGCCCTTTCTGAGGTCCCGCTGGGACTGAGGGGTGTGGAAGGATGGGCTGCTGTGCCTTCCCGTGCCCCACCTGCCTGTGTGCATCCTGCCCTGGGCCTGGGAGATGTACAGAGCGGGGCACACATGCAGGCCGCAGCCTTGCAGAGTCTGGGTGGCTGGTGGGAACCAGGCAATGGCCAGGTGTAGCCAGCGGCCCCCATCCGAGAACCGTCAGCATGACACTGGGTGCTGGCGTCAGGTGACCCTGCAGGGAGCAGCCCCATGCCCTGCCGGCAGACCGCAGGCCCGCTCGTGCCACGGGGGGCCTGCTGCCAGCTCTCCCCGGCCCAGACCCGGGCTCCCATGCCCGCACGGTTTGAGCCGTCCTCCAGGCTCCTGCTGCGCCCCCATGCTGACCGCTGTGCCGTGGCCCCCGCAGGTCAAGAAGGAGGCGGGCGAGAACGCCCCGGTGCTCAGCGATGACGAGCTGGTGTCCATGTCAGTGCGGGAGCTGAACCAGCACCTGCGGGGCCTCACCAAGGAGGAGGTGGTGCGCCTGAAGCAGCGGCGGCGCACACTCAAGAACCGGGGCTACGCCGCCAGCTGCCGCATCAAGCGCGTGACGCAGAAGGAGGAGCTGGAGCGGCAGCGCGTGGAGCTGCAGCAGGAGGTGGAGAAGCTGGCCCGCGAGAACAGCAGCATGAAGCTGGAGCTCGACGCGCTGCGCTCCAAGTACGAGGCCCTGCAGACCTTCGCCCGCACTGTGGCCCGTGGGCCCGTCACCCCCACCAAGGTGGCCACCACCAGCGTCATCACCATCGTCAAGTCTGCCGACATCTCCTCCACCTCCGTGCCCTTCTCGGCTGCATCCTAGTGCCCGACCAGGGGTGGGGGTCTGGGGGGTGCGGCCGGGGCGCTGGGCGGGCGGGGGGGCACCTCCCTCGTGCCCGTCGGAGGGTCCCATGGGGAGGTGACCCCTTAACACCCGAGTCCAGTATAGACTCATGGCGGGGACAAGGTTGCTGGCTGAAGATGGGGTCTTGTGAGACTGTGTGCTGCACGCCTTCCCACGCACGCACACGCACACGCGCACACGTATGCACTCGGCCTTCCTCTGGGCCCCGCCAGCTCTCTCCAGACTGTCCTTTTCCCGGGGTGGGGGGGGGGTTGTCTCATGCAAGGGGGCATCGGGAGGTATGGAAGGAAGGTCTGCTGGAGGTTCCTGGCCCTGTGGCCCAGACGGTGGGGGCTCTGTTCTCCACGTGTCCCAGGAGTGGCTGCCGCCGTCCTCCAGCTGCCGCAGGAACCCCCTCCCTGCCCTGAGCTCTGGTGCCGCAGGAGGAACCGATTGTCCGTGGGGACGGAAAGCACCACGAGCCTGCTTTAGCCTTAGCGGAGACTGCGCCGCGCAAGGCAGAGGGAGGGAGGGGGGCTGCCTAAGGGGCTGTGTGCGCGTGCACGTGTGCTTGGGGACGTGCCTGCCATTGCATCAGCACCAGCAGCACCAGGCCCTTGGGGGAGCAGCTCAGGGGGCCGGTCACTGGGGGGCCTCTGGGGTCCATGCACCAGGAGTTGCAGGGGCATTGGGAACCGTCCCTCTGTCTGAGTGACCCCAGGGAGTACCCTGTCGGGCCAGGGAGGTGGAGCCCTGTGCAGGGAGGGGTGGCAGGGCCTGGAGTGGATGTGCGGAGGTTCTGTGTGGCGTGGGGTGAGGTGGGCAGGGGCCTCAGGACTGGGTTGTGGCTCTGCTGGAGGGGACGGGCAGGGTCTGAAGAGTGAGGAGGGCGCGGTGACAGGGGAGGTGACATGGCACGGGGCCTGGACCTGCCTCCTTGGGGCACCTGGGTGGTCTCTTGGTGCAGAGGACAAGGGGACACAGCCACCATGGTGCTTAACCCTCCCCCGGAACCTTTACTTGCTCTTTCTGGCACCTGGAGCCCCATGACCTTGGTGATCCTTGCTGGGGCTTCCCACCACTGCAAGCCTCGATTGATTGGGACTTCCGGCTCCCACATGCTGAGCTTGGACTGCCTCTCCCCGGCCTTGCTGGAGAGAGGCTGGGGCTGCGGGGCCTGGGGGTGGGCGGTGAGCGCAAGCTCCCGGCCTCCTCTTGGCCCTGCTATCCAGCACGGAGGGAGACCCCCAGCAAGCCGCAGGCCCCCCGCCCGGGAAGAGGAGGCTTGGGCAGGGCTGATGGCCCCAAGGGCTGCATCTTCCTCTTGCGTCTGCTGTCGCGAGTGACCAGTGAAGGTCTGGGGCCTCCGTCGCATTGCATGCGGCCTTCACCTTGTCCTGGGGAGAGGTGAAGGGTCTGGGGTGCGCTGGATCTTTACAGAGCAAAAGGCCCAGTGTGTTAAAAAAAAAAAAAAAAACTGTTGATACCATAGCCATGGTAGGTAATCCACATTGGATATCGATAAGGACCATGGGGAAATATTTAAAAGAGAGAAAGTATATATATATATAAAATTATATACACATTTTATCGTACAGATTTTTCGTAATTTTCCTGTTTTTACTGTAAATCCCTAATAGAGCAGAGCTACAGTGGGGGTTGGGATGGGGGTGGGAGCTGGTTGTCCCCGGCTCTGGGGAGGGAGGCCCGAGCTGCCTGCCCTCTGCCTGTTCCCGCCGCCTGCTCCGCCTGTGGGAACCCGGGAGGAGGAGGGAAGACCAGAGCCTTCTCGTGCTCTGCCTTCCGGCTCGCTGAGACTCCACTGTCACAGGTTTAATGTATGGATGCTCTTTATGTAAGAGAAAAGGCAAGGACCACTGTCCCTGGGGTCTGTCCCCCCTGCCTTCTGGGCCTCAGACGTGTGGGTCCTTCCCGGGGGCAGGGCCTCCCGCTTCCTCGCCTCTGCCGCTCAGCTGCTCCGTTTCAATATTTATTTTTGTGCTACTTTTATCATGGTATAAGTTATTGAGAAGAGACCCCACGTTGTGGTCCTTGTCCGTACGACACCTGCCCCGCGCCTGCCCCGTCCCCTCACGGCCACCACCTAATTTATTGCTGTACATCTCTGCCGTGACGCTTTTGTACCTTTGCAATAAAGAGTTTTCTGGTTTCAGACCTGCCTCGTTGTGTGGTTGGTGCGGGGCCAGGAGGGTCCAAGTCCCTGAGTGCAGGGCACCGCTGTTCGTGAGGGGCTGCCACTGCCTCCATGTTCCGTGCCCCAACTCGGTGGTCGTCACCTGCTGCGAGGTCCATCGGGACAGCCCTGAGGTGGGGAGGGGGTCAGGCTGGTGGAGGCGGCCGGGCTGGCTTTCCGATGGTGGGCCCAATTCCCAAGTGCCCTGTCTGCCCCAACCGGGAGCCTCCAGCTTTCGGACATCGCCTTCTTCTCCAGCTCCGATGGCTCCCCTCCCCGCCCCCACCAGGTGGTATGTGCCCCAGTCTTGGGCCAGGTCCTGCAGCAGGCGGGGAGACAGACACTTCGCCTGGGGTAGACAGCAGGGTGCCTAAAGTAAGCGGGCTCTCCTGCAAGCCGGCGCCCGGGGCCTGTGCGTTCCCCATGGGCCTTCCCCACCCCCGTCCCTCTGAGGGGCAGACATGTCAGCACTTGGCCTCAGCCTCTGCAGGAGGGCAGACTTGCAGGCCAGGTCTTGGGGTTTCCAAGACCCGCCGGCCCTCCCACCTCACCTCTGCCTGAGCTGATGGGACCACTCCCGCCCCACGGTCATTGCCAGCAGCTCGGGTTGGGGGGGTAGCCTCTGGGGGGGCCTGTTCCCTCCCTTTCCAGTCCGCTGGCTCCCTTCTGTGAAATGGGCGGGGAGTGGAGTGTGCCAGCCCTGTGGGGTCGCTGTGGCCCCCCACATGGCCAGGCCTGCTCCCCCTGCGAGAGCTCTGCACGGTGTCCCGGTGACTGGAGCTAGGGCAGGCTGGACCCCAGCCCTGTCAGGGCCCCTGGGAAGTTGGGGAAGGCTGCTGCTCCTCCCGGCCCAGCCGTCCGTCTCTCTGGGCTGCCTCCTTTGGGGTGGATTGCTGGGGCCATTTCCCAGGTGAGAGCACCGAGGCCGGGAAAGGCCCTGTGCAGTGGGGCCCAGAACTGGGAGCCCACTTTGTCATCATGGATGGCAAGACGTGCCTCCCTCCCTCCTCCTCGAGAGCGCCCATACTCCCCCCTGGAGCGGGCGAAGCCAGCGAGGTGGGGGCAACTGTGATCTACCTGTGGGCGGTGGGGCACAGCCTGACTTTGTGTCTGAAGGAGAAGCCAGGCCTCGTCCCACAGAGAAGTCTGTGGGGGCTGGACAAGTGTGAGAGCTGCCTCTCTGGGGCTAGTCTGTCTATTGCCGGCTGTGTGACCTCGGGCCCCTTTCCCGGGGCTTGTGAGGATTCAGGGTAGGCTGGGGTCCGGGCCCCGCCCTCAGCACACTGTGGACACAGCACAAGGGGCTGCTGGGGCCTGTGCTGAAGGCGCCTTCCAACTGGGAGCCCGCACTGAGTGTGGTCACTGGAAGGGGGTCCCAGCCCACATACCCCATACACATGGTTTAGGCAACTGGGGCCCTAATGGGGTGACCCTCCCCAGGCAGGGCCCTGCAGGGCCTCACCCCCATTTGCCCACAGGGCGTCTGGCACTGGCCCCCTCTGAGTCCTCCAGACAACCTCCTGTCCTGGTTGCTCCCAGAGCTGCTGACTGAGCCGGCTGTGCCGGAGTGCGGCCCACTGTGGTCCCGCAGCCGGGATGGCATGATAAGGCGGTGTGGGGGGGGGTGCTCTCCAGCTGGGTGGCAGGGTGGTGGCCTGGCTTATCTCACCAGGCAGCCCGGTGGGGCCCTCAGAGAAGCTGCGGCCTTAGTGCTAGGTCTGCAGGCCTAGGGAGCAGGGAGGCTGTGGGGCGGCCCCCTTTCTGGCCAGGGCCGGGCTGCATTTCTTCTGACCCTCAGGGGTCTCCCTAGGCACTGGCCTGGCACACAGAAGAGAGAAGGATGGGGGAAGGCGGGCTCAAGCTGCGAGCTCCATCCTGCGCCCCTTGCGCTCTCTGGGCCTGAGTCCATCTGTGGCCTTCATGGACCCACTGCAGGCGGGGCTGGCTGGAGGTCCATCTTAAGGAGGAAGCTGAGCTCCCAAGGGAAGGGCAACACTCCGGGTCTCCCGAGGGCACGGGGCATGGCCTTCGGTCTGCTTGTGAGCTCTGTGCCCCGCTGGGCTCTGAGCAGCGCCCCGGATCCTTCCCCCAACTGCAGACCTAGCACCGTGGGGCTTGTCTGAACACCCCAGTACAGTTGGCTCCTCCAGGGCTGACCCCGCGGGAACAGAGGCCGCTGGAGTCTCTAGAAAAGCCAGGTGTTTATGTACAAATAAGTGTGATTTCATCTGTGAGCCGCCTGTGCCCTGCGGGCTGGTCAGGAAGAAGTCCCTGTGCAGGTGGCCCCGGACACCTCCCAGACCCACATCCACATGTCGGGTGGGGACTTTCAGGAGTCTCCTTGGCTGGAGGGGCTGCGCGGCGGCCTGGCAAGGCCCAGCTGAGGCCCCTACTGGCCCACTTGTCCACACCCACAGCTCCCATGATCTCGGGGTGGCTGCTCACTCTCCGGAGGCCGCCCTTCCCTGCAGGGGCCCAGCCTGGAGTCCGTCCATCCTGCTGGCGCCCGCTTCACAGCAGCCCCTGAGCAGACGGCCAGGGGTGCCCAACGAGTCCCAAGCTCATCAGATAAACTCCGATGTCCCATCTGGAGCCACGGGCCTGCAGGTGGGAGGCAGGCTGGACAGTGGCCCCACATTCCTGGCAGGAAGGCTCCCAGAAGGGGCTTCTCCTCTGGCAACAGGGCTGGTGGGTGAGGGGCTCTGTGCTTGGCCAGAGGCCCCGGGCAGACAGGTGGCAGCCAGGCATCCAGTGACCCGTGGCCCTCCTACAGCTCCTCCGCGGGGATCAGCATCCGCTTCTCCACGTTCCGACTCTTCCGGATCCCCCCGGGGCCATTGGCTGCACTGGGGTGGGCGCTGGGGCTCGGGGCCTCGTGTGTGGCCTGCTGGGTGTAGTGCTGGTAGGTCGGCGAGAAGTTATGGACGGCGTCCTGCACAATGTCCTGTGGGCTCATGGTCTCTTTGAGGCCGCTGGAGATGCTGTGCATGGGTGCCTCAGGGGCTGGGGGCAAACGGCACATGTATGGGGTCGGGGGGGTGCCCAGACCTGTCATGTTGCACTCAGACCCCAGCCCTGGGGACATGGCCCTGCTCCCCACCAACCTCTGGGCTGCCCAGGCCCTGGGCTTGGCCAGCAGGGGGTGACTTCGGGACCTCCGAACCCCAGCCTGGCTCCTCCCCTCAACCCCCTGCCGGCTTGTCCCAGCCCAGACTCCCCAGGGGACACATCAAGAGACCACCTTGGCTGGCTCCTGCCTTCTCCCCAGCCCGGAGTGAGCCCTTTATGCTTGTGGTAACGCCAGGCAGCTGGAGCAGGGCAGGCCATCCCTGCCCGAATGCGTCATTCCCCAGGGATGTCTGGGTCTCTGGGTGTGGTGGGCAGGGCCCCCAGGCTTGGGAGGTATCAAGCCCCCCACTGCCAGACATCCAGTCCAGCCCATCTCACTCAGAGCTTGGGGCCTGGGCCAGATGCAAATGTGGGCCCCGTCTAGGGCTGGGGTTCTCCCCAGGGGTTGTCTGTGCTCCTCCCCGGGCCCACTGTCCATGTGCCCACCCACTCTTGTAGAGGACCCGGCCAGTGCACCTGGTGAGTTCTCTTTCTTCTCTGCATACACCTGGCAGCTGAAAGCATAGCGCAGGGCAATGGAGGCAAACAGCATCTCAATGCAGATGATGAAATTCTGGTAGCCAGCGGCCAGCGTGCCAGCCCCAACCTTGCTCCCGTCGATGACCTGGACCTCAGGGATGACTCCACACTTCTCCAGGATGGCCAGCAACATCCCTGGGGGATGGTGACAGCCGCTCAGGCACCCACCCTGCACAGGCCTTGGGAGCTGCGTGGGGTCTGTGGGGGAGGACGAGGTTCCGGCCCTGCAAAGGCTCCCCCGGGTGGCCCTGGGATGTCCCATCCCCGTGGTCCTGTTCCATGGAGGGAGAGGCTGATGTTCAGGGGTGTGGGTACCTCCCACACCAGGGTCATGGCCCAGTGGGCATCTGGCTACTCCCCACATGTCTGCTCTGGCCTCCCGATCCCAGAGCTGGGGTTCACCCCTGCCCCCCCACACACTGTCTGTGGGGTGAGGTCCGGGAGCACCCCCATCCTGGCCCCAAGCCTCTGCTGGGCCTCTCCACCCACAACGGCCAGACCTGCTGGGCGGGGGACTCGAGATTTTCCCTGCACTGTGGCTTCCAGCTGAGGGGGTGGTGGTTCTGACCTGTGCTCCAGCCAGGGAAACTGAGGCCAGGCCTGAGGGCACATGGGGAACGGCTCTAGGCTCCACCGGGGCCCCCACAGCCCACCCACCCTGCCAGAAAGAGAGGAAGATGACCGCCTTGATGGTGAAGAACTTGAGGACAGGCTCGAAGGGCTGCAGGAGCTCCCTGGTGGCGAAGTAGAAAAGGAACAGGGCGTAGAGGGCCAGGCTGACGGAGACATTGTAGATGAGGGTGACGTAGAGGTAGCCGCTGCGGATGCTGGGGCCAGAGCAGATGCCAGGGTCAGGGCGGGCCCCGAGCCCTGTGCCTTCCCTGCCATCCCAGCCTGGGCCCTCACAGTGACCCAGGCCTGGACCCTCCCTGCAGGCCAGGCAGGCAGGTGGGCGGCACCCGAGCACAATGGCCAGGGAGCTGGGGGTGTTCCCACGCAGCTGTGAAGACGTAGCCCTTCTCCCTACAAAGGCCACCCTCCGTCCCTCTTCCCTGGTCCGGCTGTGCGCAGACTGAAGGACCGGGCCTCTACACTGTGCACACATGGGCAGGCGTGTGCTAGTGTAGGAGTGCATACGTGATATGCATGCACCTGTGGGTGTGTTCACACGCGCGTGTCAGCACTGAGCATGTGAGCATGTGTGTTCACGTGAAACCACGTGTGTGCCTGCTCGTGTGCACGTGTGAGCATGTGTGTGAGTGTGTGCACCTGCTCGTGTGCATGCGTGTGTGCGTGGGGGGGCTTGTGTGAGCGTGCGTGTAAGCGTGTGTGAGGGGGTCATGCGTGTATGTGCATGCATGTGTGCCCTGTCGTGTGCGTGTGTGAGCATGCGCGTGCAGGCTTGTGTGCATGTGTGAGCGTGTGTGCATGGGCTCGTGAGCGTGTGTGTGAGCATGCATGTGTGCACCTGCTCGTGTGCGTGTGCACGTGTGAGCGTGTGTGTATTTGTGCACCTGCTGTGTGTGTGTGTGCGTGTGCACCTGCTGTGTACATGTGTGGACCTGGCGTGGGGCTCCTTCTGGGCTGTCCGGGAGGCGCTGCCAGTGGCTCCCTGGGCCTGAGGGCCTGAACTCCCCCTTGGCTCTCCTTCAGGTGGGCGGGCTGCAGGCCAGGATTGGGGGTTAACCCACGGCAGCGAGGATCCTAGCCCTGGTAGTCAGGGGCCCACTCCTCTGGGTCCATTTGCTGCGGCCTCACCCTGGCTAGTCTCCCGGGAGTGCACGTGAGGACTCGGACTCGTGCTGAACCCCCTCCCTGACCCGGGGCCGGCACCCTTCTCCCGTCAGGCTAGCCCACCCCTCCCAGCCCCCACAGCAGCCTGGCCTTACTTGAAGTCCCCGTCATGGTATTTGCCGAACGCCTGCAGGACGATGGTGACCAAGGCCATGACAGGCTTCACGATACAAAACTGCAGTGTGGCCTGGGGAGGAGGGAGCAAGGAGTGATGGGGGGTGTAGCTGGGAGGGGCAGGGCAGGGCAGGCCAGCCCCCCACGCCCCCACTCACCTGCTTGCAGAATCGCAGGAAGCCAATGGAGTAGGACATGCCGTGCAGGCAGCAGGTGCCATAGACGCAGCTGGACCTGAGTGTGCAAGTCCGTGAAGCAGGGCCCGCAAGGACCCGTCCCCAGCCCGGCCCTGCTGCCGGGGTGCGGGGGGCCCCCATGGGCTCTGGGGCGAGATGCTCACCGGATGGGCTTTCCCCGGATCTCTGCCATGATGGCGCTCTCGCCCCCCAGGTACTGGAAGCACAGGCTTAGGAAGCTATAGATGACAAAGGCTGCAGGGCAGGGGGCCGGGGCAGGCAGCAGTGAGCTTGGGCTCCCCGAGACCCCCCACTCCCCGCCATCCCTGCTGACCCCCGGCTGTCAGCAGTCCCTGTGGCAGCGAGGCCCCACCCCGTCGAGGGCCCCCGTTTCCCCTCAATCCAGGCCCTGGGCCAGCCCCACTGCAGGGCCCCCACCCTTGGCACCCCCGATCCTGACCATCAGGGTAGCTGACTCGGCCCTGGAGGCTGGGGTTCCTGAGCTGGCTGAGGCCTCTCTGCGCCCTCCCTGGATCTCGCAGGAGCCCGGAGCCAGACGGCGCTCACCTTCATAGCAGTCACGCACTGAGTCCAAGTAGATGTAGTGCTGGTGGTCCCCCAGGAGGAGGAGGCTGAGCCAGGAGTCGAAGGCGTAGATGGGCACGATGAGGAGCAGGCGAATGATGTAGCGCTGCTCGTTGGGAACCGTGTAGGAGCGCAGGTGCAGGTAGATCTAGGCAGGCAGAGCAAGGGCAGGCTTGGGGCACGATGGGCATGTGCCCCCCCCACCCCCCCACCCCCGTGTGGAGCAGCGCGAGCTCCCCCAGGCGCGGCTGGCCTCTTCTGCCCGCACACTCTGCCGCGGGAACGCCTGCTCGCTCACGCTCTTGCTCCCGTGTTCGTTCATTCCGGGCCGGGAAGCGTCTGTGGCCCCGGAGTTTGGCATCTCAGCATGGGGGGGTCTGCAAAGGGCTGACCCCCTGGTGCCCTTTCCGGGATTGGCCCCATGGGGCAGGTACATCGGGAAAGCAAGGGTCTGTGTATGAGACCGACCCTCGCAGCGACGCGGGGGTAGACGCTGGTGGGGCTGGCAGGGTCTTGGATGGCCAGTGAAAGGGGCATCCCAAATTGTCCACGGGGGACCTGCTGTGCGATAATAGGGCATGGAAGCATCAGAGGACAAAGCAGTTGTGACCCCACGCATGTGGGAAACATCGGGTGAACACGAAAGGAAAGATGGCGCTGTCCTGTCCCTGGGCGGTGGGAAATACAGCTGATTATAGTCTGTCTGGAGACCTTTCTTGACTGTCCACGTCTTCTACGGGGAGGCGGAAAAGCAGCGAGAGGGTCTTGAAGAGGAAGAGGTGCCGGGAAGCCGGGCACATGGCACCTCTGGAAGGCTTCCTGGAGGAGGTGCCACTGAGCGTAGGTGGAGAGAGGGCCGTGGCAGGGCAGGCTGTGTGTGGAGCCCTGCGTGCGCCGGTCTTCAGAGGGCACAATGCAGCGAGTGGCAGGGGCAGACTGGCATCCGGAACAGTCTCTTATCAGTCCCTGCCGTCTGGCTGAGGCAGTGGGAGCGCCTGGCACAGGCAGCCCCTGGGAGACGTGGTTTCTGTCCTGGGGCTGGCACTACCTGGCGGGGCGGCCTTGGCAGGCCCTCTCCATCCTCTCCCCCCCTTACCTTCCCATCCTAAAGCCAGAGGATGAGTTCCTCTCTGCCCTTGGGGGCTCTGGAAGGGCGGAGACGGCTGCCCTCATATCTCAGAGGGTCTGGGGCTGGGGGCAGGGGCGGGGCTGCAGCCCACGGGGCCTCTGTCTGCCCATCTGGGGAGCCCCAGGAGTCAGAGACAGACATGCAGAAGTGCTGGGGTTAGGCTCACACAGAGGGGGCATCCAAGACCCCCACTCAGGACTCTGGGGCCTCCCCCTGCTAATCCTGGTCCCCTAAGTCACGGCCTACCCCGGACTTTACTCGCCACCCAAGTGCACACGCACCACCCACCAGTTCAGTCTTCCCGGCCAGAGCCCCAGGAGCAGCTCCGTAAGACTCTGTGCCAATCCTGCCTCCTCCGGGCAGCCCTCCCGGTTGGCCCCCACTGCTCTTGCCTGTACTGTGCCCCCCAGTTCCCCTCATACCCTTGTGTCTACTTCTGATGTGTTTGTTTGAGGCCACACAGAAGGCGGCTCTCACTGAGAAAGGAGTCCACTCACCCCTCCCTGCCTGCCGGCCCGCTGACTACCCCTGCCCCAAGCTCACACCCCCACTCATTCCCTCCCCATCCCAAAGGCCAGTCCTCCCTGGCTCCCACACCCTGCGTTCGGGGGAAAGCTCCCCCCGCCGCCCCTGCACCCTGGCCTGTTGCCACCCCTGAGGGCCCTCCCTGCAGCCGGGCCTCTGGTGGCTGCCCCGGATCCCAGCACGGTCAGCCAGGGCCATGTCCCATGGCCAGCAGGGTCCCAAGAGAGGTGCGGAAGGGAGGGCCTACCTGGTGGCAGGTGAGCACCAGGGCAGTCCACACGAAGACCCCTGAGACGCCACGGGCCAACGCAGTGGTGAGGAAGAGGCGGGAGGCGCCCTGGGAGCTGTTCCCCATGGGGTCCATCTGTGGCCCGCCAGGCACGGAGGACGCGGAGGGCACGGTGGGCATGGCGGGAGGGGGGCTGGGCTGTGGCCAGGTTGCTGACACCAGGGGGCCGCGGGCTGTTCCCAGGAGCCCTGAGGCATTAGTCATCTGCAGAGGTGAGGGAGGACACGGGGAGGAGTGAGGACAAAGGTGCACCCAGGCAGCTGGCAGCCCCAGTGCCGGCCCAGGGAGGAGGGGGTTGGGGCAGGGCGGGAGGAGCTCTTCCTGGTGGCCACGCACAGGCCACTGAAAGGCCGGGGCTGCCCTGGGCGTCCCTCCCCATCCCCTCTGTGTGGTTCGGGGCTGCCCTGGGCGTCCTTCCCCATCCCTTCTGTGTGGTTCGAGCCTGACCATTGTGCCTACTCCCCTGACTTGGGCTCTCCTTCCCAGGTGGGACTCGGCCGCCTGGGCGCAGAATCGGGGAGCAGACCGTGGTATCGGGTGGTCCCCGTCTCTGCTGCTCAGACTTGTGGGAGCCCACGTTTGGGGACCCGAGATGTCTGGGAATGTGAGAGATCCCGGCTGCCCTGCCTGCCCGGAGGGGAGGGCAGTCGGAGAGAAGGCCGGACTGGTGCTGCCCGCCACTGCCGACAGGGGAGCAGCCCAGCAGCCACCAGCTCCCCGGGCCCTGCCTGGCTGTCCGGGTGCCCGGCTGTGCTGCGGGGCCCTTCAGCTCCCCAGGCCTGCTCGCTCGCTCCGGATGCCGGCTCTCTGGTCACTGGCCAGCCAGCCAGGGCACCAGACACCTTACTCCTCCCATGCCAGAGGCTGACCCGGCCTCTCCCCCGGCCTCCAGCCCACGGCAGGTAGGGGCCCAGTGCCTACCTCTCAGGCAGGAAGCTCTGGCCGGCCCTGGAAGGCCCGGCCTCCAGGGAAGCCTGGCTGGTCATTTGCATGGCCACGTGGCCCAGGGCAGCCCCACTGGGGGTGGGGCAGGGCTGCTCTCTGGAGTCTGTACCAGGCTTGGGGAGGGGGCCCGCCAGGGCTGCCGCCTGCAGGGAGGGACCCGGTTGGAGGGGGAGGAGCAGAGGCTTGTCCCCTCCCGCTGCTGCTGACATTCTATCTTTGCTCAGCAGCAGCTGGCTCCCAGGAAGCTGCGGGCCGCCAGGTGCCCTCACCTGCCAGTGGCAGACGGGCAGCCATGTGGCCTCTGCCTGGGCCCCAAGCAGGCAGGAGGGGTCTCGGGTGGCCGGGCTGGTGTTTGCCTAAACACAGGTGACTTTCTGTTGTGAGAATCTCGCCCAGTCTGCACGAGGTGCACAGGAAACATTGCTGGGATTGTGGAGTCGGGAGAGGGCAGGTCCCTGCATTCAGCCGGATGCCAGTGGCTTCTTTGCAAAGAGGCTCCCCCAACTCTGTCTCTGGAGGGTCCAGCGGGTAGGGGCGTGCTCTGCGTATTCACGCCGCCGCCCCCGCTGCCGATGCCAGGGGCCACCAGGATGGAGGGTCTGCTCTGTGCCCTTGATGGTGCCACACGTTCATGTCCTTTGTGGCCACCTGACTCTCCCTGTGGCCCTGGGCCATGGGTCAAGGGCTGAACTGTTGGAATGACTGATCCCTTTTTGCTCAGAGAGGCTCATCCACACCGGTGTGCACAGGTGTGTGGGAGGCTGCAGGCCCAACCCCTGGACACATGAGCCCACTCCTCGCCCCTCCATGAGGCCGCTCCTCACCCCTCCACCCCCACCAGCCCCCTGCCCCCCAGGAGACCCCAGCAGGCCTCCTCTGAGCACTGCCTGGAAACTTCCATACTGACTTCTCTTCCAGCTGTCTCCTTGTCCTACTGATTCAGATGTCACCGTTCAATACTGTCCCCCCCCCCCCATATCCCACCCGGAGTTCCTGTCCACCTGTTGGCTTTGCGCTCGCTGCCAGCACTCCCTCCGTGGGAGCTTCCAGAACCCTATGCCAGGCCCAGTGTGCAGCCGGCCCTCTGGCTGTGGCTCCCACCAGCTCTGGCTGGGGCGACGGGTGTGGTCTACACCGCATCCAGCCAGAGTAAGTTTCCCATGTGCCCGAATCCCACCACCTGCCCTGGGTGCCAGGAGCGTGGGTCAGCGCGTGTGGAGGCAGCACCCTTCACGGCCCCTGGTGACAATGGCTTGGGGACCCTGAAGGGTGTACACTTAGTTATGGAGACATGGACGGGCTGGCAGGGGCCCAGGGACACCCCACCCTCCATGCCACAGGTGGGGAAGCGAGGCCTAGGGCCTTCCCTGGATGCTACTGGGGGACCGAGCCTGCAGCAGGAAGCACTCAGGTCAGAAGGGCTTCCTTGCTGGACCCAGTGGGGCCAGGCCTTTGGGAGAGTGCTGAGGGGCCCTGGCCCTGGGGAGGCTTGAAACCTAGACCCTGGACAAGACGGAGGTGCTTCTGGAGCTCGGCCCTTTCTTCAGAGCCAGAAAACACTGTAGGGGAGGGCAGTGGATTCTGACCTGCAGGTTGTACACGAGGGTCAGGCCCGCCTGCCAGCAGCAAGGGGGGCCAGGGGTCCCTGATCCTGGGAAGCCCCTGCCACCCAGGGCCATCCCTGCTCTCATGGTGGAGGCCAGGCCCAGTGTCACTTCTGGGTTGTTCCCGCAGCTGCCTTACTCTGAAGCCTTGTTCAGCCGTTGCCTCCAGGAAGGCCTCCAGGGATCCCTGGCTCCGAAGCCTCCCCACTCCAGGACACTGCGCACTCCCGGGCATGGCTTTGCTCAGGGGCCCTCCTGTTGGCACCAGGCCATGTAGGTATTGTAGAATCCCGGGCCTCTGCTAAATGGGGGCCTTCTGCCCCCAACCCCTTTCTCTGGGTCCTGACCTGTTGCTCCAGGGGCAGCCTTAGCCCTCTGTGCCATGCTTTGCCCATGTTCTCGGCAGTCACCTTGGCAGAGCCCTTCACCTCTCTGGGCCTCTTCTTTCCCATCTGTACAGATGAGTCTGGGGTTCTCCCACTGCACCGTGGGGTACAGCAGGTGGGTCCCTGCCATCACTGTGGGCCTGGGACACCCCTTTGCCTTGCTCTGAGCTCTGGGAAAGACCTGAGCCGCCTGGCCCTCCCAGGGCTGCCCGGGTGTGACACGGAGAGCAGCGAGAGCCCAGATCAGGGAGGCGTGGGAGATGGGAAGGGGAAGGAGCCAGACTCTGCCCCACAGAGTGCTGGGCTCCAGCACCGGGGTCACCGGGTGGTAGGTGCAGGAGAGCTGACCTGCCCGAATTTGGCCCTGCCTCCAGCAGCCAGTGTCATGGCCCATGTGCACTCAGCAGAGGTGGCTGGACCGGCCTGGCCTGATTTCCCTGCCTGGGGCTGGACGCTGACCAAGCCCAGCACAGGACAGACCTGCCTGCCCAGGTCCGGCGAGCTGGGGCCTCTGACCCCTGTTTGTGGTGACCAGGTGACGAGGCTCTGGGCAGGTTGTAGCTGGGGCGTGGGTGGCTGAGACGCTGTGGCCGCTGTCAGACCTGTCTCCTCATCCCCACACCTGCCTTTCACTACTGGTGACCCAATGCCCATGGCTCCTTGGCCTTTCTGCTGGCCCTGGAGCTCCTTCCAGACACACCCTGCCACAGGGGCCCCCTTCTCAGCCAGCCTTCCATCTGGGGACATCTCTGGGAGCCTGTGGCTCCTTTCCTGCCGCTGGCCCAGTCCAGCGCGCCACCCCCCCACCCCGGGCAGGCAGAGACAAGTTGGGGGAGGACGGTGGGGGCATCAGGACACTACGCTTCCCAAGGCCAGACCCCCGGGGTCCTTTGGCTCTCCAGGGGTGCCCTCCTGCTGTCATCTGGGGAACTCTGGTCCCGGCACCCGCAACGGCCCTTGACTTAACCAATAGCCACTGTGGCCAAGGGCCTGGGGGTGACTGGCCCGGGGCCACTGTCAACCAAGGGTCCTGGGTGCTCAGTTCTTTAAGCCACTCAGGTGGGAGCTGGGAGAAGTGGGGAGCAGCGGTGGGGCCCCAGGGCCTCTGCAGGCCATGGAAGGAACCTACATCCCGGGGAACCCAAGCCCCTTCTCCCCTCCTCTGGGTCCGCAGCGGGGACCGTGGGTCCCTCCAGCTCCAGTTCTGGGATTCCTTGTGTGGTGGGCAAGCCGGGTCCTGGGCCCCAGAGCTGCAGGAGCAGGGCCCTGGTTCAGACACACTGGGCTGGGAATCTGACGTGGCCCTCACGGTGTCTGTGACCTTCCTCAGTGTCCCCTGCACCTGGAACCCCACTTGCAGCAGGTCAGCATCCGTCCCTTGCTTAAAGGTAGGTCCGGGTCAGTGTGGCCCAGCACTGCTCTGCAGTCAAGGTCACTGAGGCCCAGGACCGCTCTGCGGCACTAGCCGTCTCAGTCAACCTGCATCCTGCTGGCCAGATCACTGTCCCAGGGCTTCTCTCGGCCTCTAGGCTGGTTAGCCCAGGGGGGACCCCACTGTGGGATCTCGGGGACCTCACTCCCTCCTGGGGCTTTCTGTCCCTTCTGTGCTGCCCATTCCTAGCCTGTGTCCCTCCCCTGGGCCACCTCCCTCCCCCAGGCCTCCGTCCCCAGAGAGGAGCTGTGTCCCTGGAGCCTGCCTGTACCTGCCTGCTGTCCCAGAGCCAGTTGCCAGCCCTGGGTGTGTCCGCAGGGGCAGCACTCCATGTGGGGCTGGGGCAGGGGTGCAGCCCTGAAACCCTTTTTGGTTACCAGGTGGTATCCCAGGGCCTGGCAGGGCCCTGTCATCTTGGGTGGAAAGGGGGTGGGGCAGAGAGGCCTGGACTCACAGAATTTCACAGTGCAAGATTTTTTCTCCAGGAATCCCTGCCCCACTAGAGTGAATGGGACCCCGGCCTGGACCCCACCCCTCCTGTGGGTGTGCACACTTGCACACACATGCGCGCCTGTGCTCACCTCTCTGGTGGCTCGGTCAGCTGTCTGGTCAGGCCCCTCGGGCAGCTCTGCTCAGGGCTCCAGGCCCCAGGGGGTGGGGGTGGGGGTCCAGCCCCGATGTGCAGCCTCTAGACCTCCGTTGCTCCTCCTCACAGCAGCCTGGGCTGGTCCAAGGCACTGCTGCTCCTCGGGGGCGGGGGGTGCCGGCCTTTCCCTGGTCCCAGAAAACACCTCCTTGCCACCACCCACCTCACCAGGCCGGCCCTGCCAGGCGGGGTGCAGCCCCGGCCACACCCTCTGCTGTGCCCTGCCCACACCCTGGGCCTCCCTCCCATCCCTCCAGTCGTGCACTGTCTGGCGCGGGGTACAAGCCAGCCTCGGAGTCTCTGACGTCCGGGTGTGGCCTTGAGTGGCCGCATCTCTCCATCCATGTGGGTGGTGGTCCGATCCACCCCTGCCCCGGTGCAGTGAGGGGTAGATGGGGGGTTGCCTGCCTTCACAGAGGGACGGCTCCTGGCTCGAGCACCCCACACAGAGGCTCCGAGTGGCCTCCCCAAGAGACGCGGAGCCACTGAGAGGATGGCCCACGGCCAGCTGCTCCCGCAGGAGAGGGGTTTCCACCATCTCGTCACGATCTCTCGGAATCAGTGGGGCCTCACTTCCCACTGAGCCCACCTCCTCCCTCCCCGCCGCCCTGTAGACCCATCTGTCCACTTCGGGTTCAGACCATGAAGCCGCAGGGGCTGAGCACCTCCCTGCAGTCCATCTCTGGTCACTCAGGGCCCTCTGACTGCACACATGCCCTGGGCATCCTAGTCGTTCACTGCGTGCCCCTCCTGACTGCCAGTATCACTCCGAGGCACTGAGATGCTCAGAGGCTCAGCGGTCCTGCACGTGGCTGTCTTAGTCCACTGGCTCCTTGTCGTAACTGGTTTGGGAGGCTCGGGGGCTGCAAAGCCCTGGAGAAGCCGCTTGGAGAGATTGCCTACAGTGGCCGCCCTCCCTGGGTTCTCTCGCTCGCCCTCGGCTCTGAGCCACATCCCTACATCCACTAAGAAGAAGGAAGGGCGTGCAAGGGACGGGGTCTGGGGGGGCCACCGTGCGCAGCTTGGCGGAGAACTGCACAGGGCAGGTGGCACTGGAGGTCCAAGGGCGTGACCTTGACGGAGGAGCCCCTGATAGTCTGGGCTGGGGGGGCTGCAGATGAGCCCCCCGTCTTTTACTTCTGTGGGCCTACGGATCGCTGGAAGGTGTGATGACACTCTGATCACTGGTTAAGCGCCATGTACAAGAATAAATCTGCATGGCGCCAGCCACCGCCTGTGGGAGCTGCGGCTTCACCGATGGCTCCTCCTAAATAGTGGCGGCCGAAGCCGAGGGCCCTGCACCTTCCCACCCCGTCCCATGCCTGCATTTATAAGGCCAAGGAGCGTGCAGGCCTCAGGGACAGGAGCATGTAGTGCCGGGCTGTGATTTCCACCAGCCACCAGACAGCTTCCGGCAGCTGTAAGGGTGCGGCGTGGACAAAGTCCTGGGGGCCCCGCTCTCAGTTCCATGCCGGGTCCACCACCCCCTGCCAGGCGGTGTCCATGCCACCGCCCAACTGCCTCTCCTTCAGGGTGGCAGCCAGGGGTGGGAGTGTCACTCCTTCACATGGTCAGGCTGCCAGCTGGCAGCAGTGAGAGGTCCTCTGCCCCGGGGTCAAGTCCGGGCTCGGCCGGGGCAGCTCGGTGATGCTGCCTCCATTTCCGTCTCTGGAACACATGGATGATGAGAGGAGTAAGGTTCCCGGGTCGGAGCGAGGACTGTACCCTGAGCCTGGTCACTGTGATAGGCAGGTGTGCTAGTCCCATAGAGATGAATTTAGGGACCAAACCAGAAAACCAAAAGCTGCAACTCTGAACCCAGACTCATACTGGGACCCTCTCTGTGCCTCGGGTTCCCTGCTTGTGCGATGGGAGGAGTCGTGGTCCCACAGCACGAACACATAATTTTTAGATGAGCACTGCATAACTATTGCTTTGAAGTATTAATCTGAGGACACCAGGCCTTTGCTTCTGCTGGGGGGTAGGGGGGGTCCTCCTCACCCATCGGGACACCCCAGGCCTTGGGGGTCCACATGTGTGTGGACGTCTCCTCCCTTCTTCAGTTGGCTCCTGTGTCCTTAGACCTGGCCCTGGTCCCAGTCCTGCCCAGGGACCCACCAAGTGGCATTGGGGGCCAGAATCTAACCAGGGGAGTGGCAGTGTGGACACAGGTTGGGTGGGAGCGGCCAGGCTGGATGCAGTCTGCCCGAGAGGTCGGGAGGTGGGGCAGAGCTGGCCACAAAGGAGCCCTGTGTCTCTCAGGGACGGGCTTGCCTGTTTCCCCTGGTCACCCAGGCTCCCTGCAGCAGCAGCAGCAGCAGCAGCAGCAGCACAAGGGGCCTTCCCTGCTCAAGCATCGGCACCCACTCTGGGAAGTTGGCAGGATTCCCATGGGTGACTCCTGTGGTCACCATCAGCCAGTCTGTGCTCCCAGTGGGACAGGGCTGATGGTGACATTGCACTGTCTGCTGACAGAATGAACCCTTGAAAACTTTCCCTCGGTCTCATCTTCGGCAAACTCATGCTTGCCTCTAGACCAGACTGGCAGGTTGAACCAGTCCTTTCCATCGCCTCTTGGAGAGGGGTTTCTAAAGTCAAGAACTTCAGGGTCTCAGAAGCTGTTGATTCTGAGGGAAACCAAATTAAATACATCCCCTTCTGATCTTATGAGGACATGGACGCCACCCAAGGTGTTTTCTGTACAAAGATCTCTTTTAAGATTTTATTTTTAGGTCATCTCTATGTCCACCGTGGGGCCAGAACGCACAGCCCCGAGATCGAGTTGCATGCTCCACTGACCAAGCTAACTGGGCGCCGCTCTTTACACTGGGACCCCAGCTTCCAGACCCTGAGCCCGCATCCTCTCTGGTCTCCAATTCTGTGTGGTGGACTCACACAGTCACATGGAACATGGACAGCAACGCGCCACTGTGGCTAGTGGGGGATGAGGACCAGCCCAGAGGGACCAAGCTGCTGTCTGCAGGGGCAAAAGCCATCCCAAAGCCAGCACCTCACTGGACCTGTCATGCAGCAGGACAGTAAGAGATGTTTGCGGAATGGAAGTTCATAGCTGTCCAGAGAAGTCAGAGAAGGAGGAGCAAAAGAAGTGTGTAGAGCATGTGAACCTTGCCAAACAAGGTCTCCTCTCACCTCCACATAGTGTGCTGAACCTTGCACCTGGGACGCTAGTTCTCAGTATTGCCAGGAAGGCTGGTGAGTTATTTGGGGATAGGCATTTATTGTGAATAAAAAAAATTTCCTTCAACGACAGATACTGCACACGGAGAGCCAGGACTCCAACCTAATGACTCATCTCTCAGTCTCGAATACATGCAGCTGTTTGGACCCTAGTAAAAACTGTTCACAAACCCCCAAGACACAATCCTCAGCTTTCCTCCATCCGCGGGTATGTTAGCGCCCAAAGTACAGGTCTGCCTGGGACGTGCATATTTCCTCTGGCTTCTAGAGTTAAGCCAGAGCTGCTCCTCCTGCCTAACCGAGGGAGTGTTTCCATATCGAGAGGGTATCCGCGTGTCCCCTCGGCTCGCTGAGTAGCAGGCGCGGCTGCTGGCTCCAGGGTCACCACACCTGGCAGGACTGGATCACCTCCTTCAAGGCCTTCAGCCCCTCCACACTCCTGTCCTTCACGGCCAGGGCCAGGAGGACTGCTCTGTTTCCAGCCTCCTGAGACACAAACGTCACCAGGTTCTTTGCAAAGACGTGGATGAGAGGCTGGTAAAGGGAAGGAGAAATACCATTTTAATTGTGACAAATCTGTTTTCCCTTAGTGCCTTCACAGTGTCCCCCAGGAACCCTCCTGACTTCCTGCACCCCCAATAATCAACCCCCTCCATGTAAGTTCAATGCAACACTGGTTTAGCGTTCAACCGACTCCAGAACACTCCAGTCCTAAACAAAACGCTAGAGAGGCACCATTACACTCATTTCCTTGGTGCCTTCTGATTCCTTGGTCTCTTCTGGCAGGCTGTCATCCAGAAGGAATCATGGAAAGTATTCTACAGGGCTGGGGTGGGGTCTGTCAAATCTCAGCGGCTCCAAGGTCGCACGAGAGGGCCAAATCTTACAAAATTAGTACCGCCTCTCTGCTAGGTAAAACACTGATACGCTGGGGAAAGCATGCACCAAGGGCAGGCAGGTGCCCTCGCAGGGGCATAGGCCTCAGAAAACAATGTGGAGCCTGTGGGCTCCAGCCCCTACTCACAACCCGCAGCCACACAAGCAGTTTTCCCTCCAGCGTGGGGACCCCTTTCCACCACTTTACCTCGTCCTGCCCAAGAAGGACTTTGGTGGTGAGCACGGGCTTGCTGATGTCACCAGCCACGGTGCTGGGCTCCAGGGAGACCAGGGTACCCATCTTCCCGAACTGGGTCACCACCACCAGGATATGACTGCTGAAGGATGTGCAGACCACCTGCGTGGGGACCCCACACACCACTTCCGTCTTCTGTTTGGAAGTCAGCAAGGGTTTGCCTTCCATGGATGGGTCTTTTCAGTGGCACTTTAATGTTTACCAAGCAAAGAGAGGAAAAAAGGTCACTCAAACCGTGTCGGAGGTGCTCGTGCTCCAGCATTAGCACTGCCTGGTATTCGCACAGAGGCACGAACACGCCCACCCGAGCAAACCCACCCGAGCAGGCGCCCGCGCGTGCCCGCCGCCTTCACCGGGAGCCCTCAGAAGCCGCTCCAGGGCGCGCGTGTGCAGACGTGCGGGCTGCACTGAGAAGGCGGGCCGTCGGGGCACTCGCCCGTCTCTGTCCCCGAACCAGGCTCCACGCCCACCCGCCGCAGGTGCACAAGGTGGCCGCGCCCCCGCCGCCCTCTAGCCGCCCTCTGAGCTTCCCCTTCCGCTTGGGAAGACGACCGCCCCCGCAGGACAGGGAGGCACCCCCCGCGAGGGCTAAGGGCAGGGGGCGGCGGGAGGCCGGGAGGCCAGGGGCCCCGCGGGGCGCCCTCGCTACCCATCCCACCCGCCATGCTGCCCGCGCTCACCGCGCCGCGCCCGGAAGTGACGCCTGGTGGGCGACGCGGGCCCGCCCCCGCAGGGGCCCCGCCCACCGGCCCTGCGGCCCCCTCCACCGGAAGTGCGCCTGGGGGTTTCCGGTCCCGGCGGGGCCTCTGGCTCCTGAGCGGCGGGGTTCCACGCTGCGGAGAGGGGCCGGCCGTTCTGGGCGAGGGGCTGCATCCTCCACCTGCGAGTCTCGGCCGCCGGGCCTCTGGCTGCTCCCCCGGGGTGTCTTCGGAGGTCGGGGGGCTGCCTAGCTGTGGGTTTGCTACCCCACATGGCGACCCTGGGGCTGTGGGAGCGGAGCAGTGCTGAGGTCGCCCCACGGAGAGCGGGCACAGGGACCTGGGTGTGTCCGGCGGGAGTCCCATCCCGGAGCCAGGGAACGGGGCGTCCTGCTGACCCGGGCGGGGATGCGGGGACGGCGCGGTGGCCCCACGGCTAGGCCGGGGCCGAGGGCTCCGGGACGGGGGCGGCCTGTTGGGGGGGCGAGCCCTCCGTCCCACTCTCCCGGCGACCCCAGCCCTCCCGGGGCGAGCTGCGGGGCGGAGGCGAGCCCTCCCCACTCTCACGGGGTAGTCTGTAGGGGTGGGGGCGGTCTGCAGGGGGAGGACGGCCCGTGGTGGGGGGCGAGCCCTCCATCCCACTCTCCCGGGGCCCCCAGCCCTCCCGGGGCGAGCTGCAGGGCGGAGGCGAGCCCTCCCCACTCTCCCGGGGTAGTCTGCAGGGCAAGCCTTCTGCCCCGCTCCCCGGGGGCACCCAGCTCTGCGTGTGTGTCTGCGTTGTGTGTGTGTGTGTGTGTGTGTGTGTGTGTGTGTGTGTACGCGCGCGCGCCCTCCATCCCATTCTCCCGTGGGCCCCAGCCCTGGGGGTCCATCTGAGCCACCCTTCCAGCTCCCATCCATCAGATTCCTCAGGCTGCGGCGGGTGACAGGCGTTGTGCAAAGTGTCCTGTAGACAAGCTGTTCAGGTTGGGAAAGCTTGCCTCGGGTCCTAAAGCTGGTAAGGCCTGGATCCGGGCTTCAGTTGCTTGCCCTGGGTTTCTGGTCTGAGGGCTCCCCTGAGGGGAGAAGGGACCAGGGTCGCCCTTGTGGCAGGAGGATGTCTGGTCCACCCCCACCTCTGACAGCCCGTGAGGGCTCATCTCTCCACACTGGCAGTGTGTTGTCAGGGTGGGGGAGTCTTGCACTGATACTGGGGTAGCTTGAGCCTGCAGGCCCTGTGAGTGACAGCCCTTCAGCACCCCACACTCAGAGGCCTTGCCCTCCAGTTTCCTGACAGCCCCTGCGGGGGGTGTGGTTCCCCTCTACCTGGTCTGCCCACCCCACTGAGCCCTGTAGGAAGCCTTGGCATCCCTAATCTTTGCTCCCTTTTCTAGTGATTTAATGACTCCTTAGACAACCCGTGTCAAGTCCAATGAAGCATGTGCCTTCCAAAACGATTTCTGGTGGCTTAAAATAAAAGGCATGTATACAAAACATTATCAAAATAGAAATAAAAATCTAAAGGAACCCACTTGTGAGCTTTCTTGCAGCAGGCTCACAGAGGGAAAGATTATGACTTTCCAGGTGCCAATACTCAAAAAGGAGGAAGGGTATCAATTTCTCTGGAGAGTGTTTTTGTTGGGGCTAAATTTAAACCCACATCCACCCACACACACCTCAAAGCAAATGGCCAATTCCTTGCTCGGGGTTGGAAACATTCCAAAGGTGAGTTTACTGCTGTTCACCTATTCATGCATTCTCTATGCAAATAGACACAAGTGTGACACCCCCCCACCCCCCCCCCAAACCCAACTCTGACATAAAGTTCTCACCATAAAAGATGGGCAAGCGCAGAGCGGCGGGTGTCTTGATGGCACTTAAGCAGTTATGTAAGTGTCTGTCGCCTGTTTGTTGGTCTAGATCTGGGGGAGAGGCTGCATATGAAGGAAAGAAGCTGGGAAGTCTCGGAGGGGCTTCCTGGCAGCCGGAGTGGATGTGTGGGCAGGTCGTGGGCACTTAAGAGTAACGGGCCCAGCTCATTGCCTGCAGTTGGCCGTTCTCCAGGGGGTGGCAAATTCCCTTAAGTGAGTTCACTTAAAATGAGAGCTAAGTAGCGATAGTGTCACCGGTGGGGCAGAAGAGTTCGAGAATTTATCTTAAAAAGTGGCGACCAAAGAAAATATCTTGAAATTGTCTTGTATTCAAGGAATTCTAGGTTATGAATGCCATCCTCTATTAATTTGCGCCACCAAAGAACCAAGCGTTGGTTTGGCAGGGTCATAATTTTCCCAACAAATCCTCCGACAGCAGCGTTCCCAGCTGTGTAGGGAAGAGGGTGGTCCAAGGGCACCATCCATTTACCCCAGAGCCTCTCCTAATCTTGTGATATGCACGTCTGCCCTTGGGATGCTGTCCTCTCCCCAGCCGGCCCCGCCGCCTGCCTGTCTGGTACTACCAGGCCCTCCCACACTTGCCGCCACGTTCCCCAGTATCGACCTTCACCAGCTTTCTGAAATCTCGCGTCTTTCCCGATGCGCCGCTCGCCCACAGCCTCACAGCGTGCTTTCCAGAGCTTGCAGCTCTGTGCCTGTGCGTGGGGTGGGGGAGACGGAGGGGCATTTCAAGGGAGCCCGGTCTTGTAAACGGTCAATGCATTTGGGAAATGCTTTGTGTTGTGATGACTCTGTTTCCCTCCATGGGCTCATGTGCCTAAGACGTCAGCCTTGGAAGTTTCCGGAATCTACCCCCTCGGCCCTTACTAACGGTGCCTTGGGACAACTTTCCCCATGGGCCTCAGCTTCTTGGCTCAGAAACGGAATGTGCCGGCCTGGCAGGAGTGAGTGAGGTGGCGTGTGTGCCGTGGTTTCCCGGAGCTTTATGGAATTCGCTCTGACTTTACGTATATTCATACTTACTTACATATCTGTGCATTATTTATTACCTTTATTATTAATCATCTGTCCTTTCATCATCAGGTGAGTAACAACTTGCTGCCACATGCCGGGTGAGGAACGGCTTGAAAGCAAATCAGCCTCGGAGACTCCGAGACCCTTGACCCTCCAGGCCTGCAGGAGGCTCTCCGAGCTGCTGTCCGCGAGTCTGCCAGAGGGAGGGTCTCTGCTGTCCACGCCCTCCCCAACACCATCTGCCCCAGTGAGAGACTCTGCTGCGGCTCGGGGGTCTGCCCAAGGGAGGGGCTCATAGACACAGGAGTGTCTACACAGGCAGTGAGCCGGCGTGACAGGTAGAGGTGTTACTTGTGGAAATGATTGCCCCTCTCACGTGTCCCGGCCAGTCTCCTAAGAGGACCCGGGGATTCGGAGAGCTGGAGATCATGCCTGTGATGCAGGCCCGAGACACGGCATCAGATAAACGCATTTTACCCCCTTGAGGCGGTGGGGACTTAGGACTGCATGAGGGGAGGTGTTTCCATTAGGGTTCTTCCAGGCAGAGGGGACAGACACCTTTGCTCCAAAGGAGGACAGACAGGCTCACTGGACAGCCGGGAAGTCCCAGACACTCCGACAATTCTCTCCATCTCTCAACTCTGAAACTGCTGTCGCTTTCTTCCCCACAATCCCCCGGGAACATCCAGGCCAGTCTCCCTAGACCAGCCTGGGCCACGTGCCTGTCCCTGAACCAACCACCCTGTGGAAACTTGGGGAAATGAGTTCATGTACGAGCAGCTCCCCCCACACCTGAGAGTCAGCAAGTCCTTGTCGGCAATCACGTCAAAGGAGATCATAACGGACCTGACAAACTATCTGAGCGCCCCACCCTCCCAACCCCCCGAAAACCATGCACCCGCTTTGTGTTTCCACAGATTTGCCCATGTGGACAACACCAGCAAGCCCCCCCCCAAGCCACGTGGCCTTTGTGGCTGGCTCCATCCATTCAGCACAGGGTGGACCAGGGTCATGCATGCCCCTCGGGCACTGGGGGCTTCTCTCTTTCAGAAAGACCAGCTCTTGGTTGCTCGGTAACTGGGAGGATTAAACGAGGTCACATGCAAGGGCCTGGTGGACACCCCGGCTGCCTTCCCTTCACGGGACCTCGCACGACTGGTGGCCTCTGCACTGGGGGCGTTTGTGGGGAGCTGACGTCATCGCATAGCCATGTTCACCCATCTACCCGGTCCCCTAATGCCCCCAAGACGGCTCGGGAGACATCTAATTGCAGGCCCTGATGCGGCCAAAGCTGTGAGGTCCTCATGCCCTGATCCTGTCCCTGGGGAAAGGTGGTGGTGTTTTGGAGGCTGCCCGGGCAGGGTTAGGACAGAGTGGGCATGAGAAGCCCCAGGGGTGGCAAGGGCAGGCACATGGGCATGTCCACCTCATGGCCGTCTGTGAATCTGAGTGGTGTCCCCGCTGCCACCAGGGCTGGGGACGCCCTGCCCTGGGGGTCCCGCATTTACCCCACCCACGCCTGTCCTTTCTGTGCCCCAGCAGGGAGTGACGCCATGCACGACGGTCACGGACACCCTCGAACACACAGTGGCACGGAATCAGAAGCGGTTCTAATTAGGGTTCTCCACAAGACAGAAATTACCTTCAGCAGCACCCGGTTTTCTGGAAAAACAATGAACAATTGATTTTTTTTTCCAAACCAGGCTTATCCAAGCAGAGGGAAACACAGGCCACCAAGGTTTTCGGAGAAAAAAAGAAAAAGATTAAAGGCAACCAATCGACAATTGCGTATATTTTATTACAAAAACAAAATTCCGGGTGTCTGTGAAATTCAAATTTTTCCCAAGGGAAATTAACGAATACCATTAAAACTGAGTCCAGTTTATAAGGATCTGGGGAGCGGTTCATCCGGAAAGGGGATAAATCCTCTTCCCAGGGAGCATTTAAAGATCTTTTCTGGAATGTCTGCAGCACAGGGTAAGAAGGAGCAACATCATCTTCCCGCGGAGGCTGGTGGTGTTCCCTGTTGGGTGTAGCCTCTGCTCAGCCGTGGGAGGCAAGGGCTGTGTGGCCTACCCGGTCCCGAGCTTCGGAGTTTTATGTCGGTGGGACCGTTTTCACTTAACGCCGCACAGTAAACATAAAAAAAAACCCTTGTTTTTGGATCCGGTTCCCTGCCCACCTGGATCCGGGAACTCTGGACGGCGCATTGATCCCCTCGAACTCGGTAAAGCTTGGCCGGTATAACGTTCTGTTCCCAGAGCGAGATTTTCTGGCCTCCTTAGAAATGCTGACAATGGCCTTGCACCCACGTATTTGTTTAGCTCCTTAATAAATGAAACCTTAATCCATGCCCAATTTCGGGAAGCCTTTCTTTCAATATTTTAAGTGGTTATTTCCCCCGGCGTGGAACCTGTCGCAAAGCTCGCCTGTCTGCATGGAGGCCCGGCTCCCGCTCTGTTTCCAACCAGAAGACGGAAGCCAGTGCTGAGTGCCACGGGGCCTCAAAACATGCTTGTTGGACTGGGCCGCATTTGGGGGGTCTGTCAAGCCTCGGCTCGAGGGGCTGGGGCTCAGGAGCCAGGAGGACGAGGTCGAGGGAACCCGGGCCTCCAGAGTGGGCTCACCTGTGGCCTTGGACCATTCCCTTCCCCTCCCTGGGCCTCCAGCTGCAAACCATCAACTGTAAAATGGGCACATGGGCCACGTGGCCCCCAGGTGCCTCCCATCCAGTCTTAACAGCTGCTCCCCACGGGAGGGGCAGGGCCCCGGAGGAAGAGGCAGCCCAGAGACTCTGGCAAAAGGAACCTGGCAGGGACTGGATGGAGCTGGCTGGGAAGGCGGGAGGCGGCCTCACGGCTCTGAAGCCTGTTCCACGCCTGTGGACTGCTCCACTGCTCCACGTGGAGGCTCGAGGAGGGCAGACCTCGGCTTGAGGACGTGCCGACCAGAAACGCCAGGGCTGTGCCTGGGTGGTAGTGAGTATGCTCCCTTTCAGGGGAATGGAGACCAGGTGGTCGGTCGGCTAGGGTAGGGACTTGTGGTATGGGGAGGATATCTGCATTTGGGGGGCTGGATGCAAAGTGTTTGGGGGGATTTTGAGTCCAAATTGCCTGTAGTTCTGTGCATGCAGAACTGATAACACAGGGAAACACTTAGTCCTGCTGGAAGGTTCCAGAAGGAACAAGACATGGACCTGAGCCAAGTAAGAACTGGCTGCGTGCAGGGCCGGTGGGAATGCGGTATGGCACAGGCACTCTGGAGAGCGGGTTAGCGGTTCCCTGGAGAGGTGACCACCACCTCCCACGTGTCCCGGCGGGGCCATTCCTCAGTCTACAGCCAGCAGAAGACCCCCATGCACCCCACGCGCTCTTGGCAGGGGCATGCCGACACAGAGGAGTGCATCCATGTGATGGGAGGCTGCTGTGTATTCCCAAGAGGTGAAGGACTTAGTGGTTCCTGCAACAGCACGGGGGGGCCCCAAAGCCTGTGCTGAGAGCAAGGAGCGGACAGAGTCTGTGAGGCCCGACCACGCCTCTGGGGCTCTGCGAGGGCCCACTTATTAGAACCGAAAGGGGGTTCCCGGGGCCGGTTGGGATTCAGGGATGGCTTTGACAACAGACCCCAGAGGGGACCATCTGCACCTCGGCCGTGGCTGTGCTGACGTGACTCTGAGGGTTCGTCTGCACCCGTGAAACCATACCTCGTAAACCAGCCTCAGGGTCTGTGCAGAAAGGAAGAGTGAACACCATGTGGGAGCAAACAGACATGGCCCCTGACGGGCAGAACCGACGGGAGGTCTCACCCTGCCTCGGGTCCCACATGGAGAACGTGGCCTGCCACTGACGCCAGCAGGGCCCTGCCCGGACTGTGTCACCCACAGCCCCTTGGGGCACACGGGTCTGATTCCTGCCGCCGCTGGGGCCCGCCCTGCCTGATGCCCTGAAGGGGCTGTAGTCGTCCATCTGTCCAGGAGAGAGAGGTTTCTCAGGCTCCCACTGGCTGAGCATTTGCAGTGGGAGCTGGCGCGAGGGCTCTGGGCTGCCCAGAGAAGGCAGGTGGCGAGCGGGTGGCTGCAGGTCCCGGCAGAGAGGTCGGCACCGAAACGGCACTGGTGGATTGGGGCTGAAAGGAGGAGGAAGGCGCCCGAGGGAGGCCGCAGTGGGGTGGCCCTGGGCACACAGGGTCTGCGGCCTGGTGGGAAAGGCCGGTTGTGACACTGTCAGGAGCTGGTCCTGGGTGGGGTGGGGCAGCGGGTGCAGATGTGCTGGCATTTCCCATTTCCATCGGCACACGTGGACCCTGTTGTATTTTGTTCTCATAGTCAGGAAAGGACATGGGGCAGGAAGCATGCTCATGACCTCCGTGGCCCGGGAGCCTCGTGCCCCGAGGATGTGCCCACAGTCTCATGGAGAACCCAGGCGGTTGGGCTGGGTCTTGGCCCAGAAGGAGGTGCAGGAGGGCTGCGGCCCCTACTCCAGGGAAGGCTGGGCGGAGAGAGCCTGTGTTACCAGCGAACACCTCTGGGCGGCAGCAGAGGCCACAGAACGCTTGTGGCCTGCAGAGCCCTGTGTGGGTGGAGGGACCCTGGTGTCTGTCCTGTGGTCCTCACTCCCCCTCAGGGAAGAGGGGCTTCTGCTTACCCCGGCGCTTCCCACCCCCGGTTCCTCTAGCCTGCCTCTTCTCTGGGGGGCAGATCCCCGAGGAGCCCATCTGCTTTCTCACTTCCTCTGTCCTTCAGGTCTCAACTTCTCGCTCCCATCTGTCCCCATCTCTGTCCGCCTCTGTCGTATCTGGGTGTCTCCTTCCCCCCAGCGGCACGGTCACCTAACCACAAAGACCTTGAAGGTGTTGTTACGGGCACCCGCTGAGCCCGTCCCCAGGGCCCGACCCGGTGCTGCCACCCTGTGAGAGGGGCGAGAAGTTCCCTGGGGGGACTGTCAGGTGTGTGCAGCAGGAGGGACGTAAGTCCTCGGATGGGGCATCTGAAATCAGGAGCAGGAATCGTAAGCTAGACTAGACAGTCAAGGCCACGGTGCAAACACAGAGGGGTGCATGCTGGCCTCTGCTCCCCCCAGAGTTGCTATTATGGGGCCTCAGGTTTAGCTCTGACCTTCCTGGGAGCCACAGAGAAAAGGGAGACAGGATCAGGTCCCCGGTGTGTGGGGGGTGGCGCAGGGGACCCAGGGCTGCGTGGGGTCAGGATTCAGTCCAGCCTCCCATTCCCTACCCCGTGCGCCCTTGGTAGCTGCTGGCCCCCTCCCCAGAGCCCCTTCCCTGCCCTCCTTCCCCTGTGGATAACCGCTTGGGGACTCCCGCCCACCCTGCCTCATTCTTCCTGACCTGTCTCTTGGCTCACGGGCCACATGCTTTTTTTGGATAATTTTAATTGTGGTAAAATAAATATAAGAAACCCTTTAACCATTTCTCAGCGTTCAGTTCAGGGGCACCGTCCTCATGTCCAGCTCCAGAATGTTCCATCCCCCCATGGAAATCCTGTCCCCGTGATGCATGGACCCCTGCCTGCTCCCCCAGTCCCACTGTCTGCTCTCTGTGTCTGTGAGTCTGATGACTCCAGGTCCTCGTGTGCGTGGGGTCCCCGTGCATGGTGCTGCGGGCAGGGGCTGCTCTGGGGAGGGAGAACCCCCCCACACTCCAGGCCTTGGATCTGGGAGGGGGGCCTGGGGCCAAAGGAAGGTGGGCTTTGTTCACAGTGGCGCTGCAGGGGGTTTGGGCCACAAGGACGGCCCTGTGTCTGCTGCCAGTACCTGCTGGTCTCCTGGGGAATCAGTCTGGGCTCTGTCATCGTCCCCGGGAACCAGTCCTGCAACAGCCTCTTGTGCACGAGAGGGTGTCCCGCTTTCTCTCCCCACTGCTGTGCGTCTGGTTTCCTCTGCAGCACCCCCAGGGGCCATGGCCCCCCGAAGGCTGCACTCGGGGAGCAGAGCGCCCTGAAACCAGAAAAAAGAACATCGGGGGTTTGGCTTAAACTCGTTAAAGCCAATGAACCCTCCCGCCGAATGATCCCAGTCTGCGCCAGGCCTTTTAATCTCGTTCGGGCCTCGGGATAATTTGTTTAGCCGTGCTGATCAGTTGAAGGTTAATTCAATTGGACTTGGGTTATTTATTTGTGCCTGGATTTGCTAAGTGTCACTGGAGGTACATGAGGTCTTCATTATGGTGGTACGATGGCTTCATTAGGGGTCAGCCACGCCCGCCGGGCCCCTTTGCCCTTCTCTGAGCATCTGGGCCCCTTCCTGCCTGGGGAGGGGGTGGTGGCCATGGGGGCTGGGGACACAGGGGGAGGGGTGCCACACACAGTGTCCGGAGGAGACCTGATATAGCCTCTGTTCTGGTGGCGGCCCTCCTGTGGACACTGAGCTGTCCTCTGTGGCTTTGGGTGACCTGCTTTCCTGGCCTCATCCCTCCGCAGACCCTAGAGGCAGCCAGGGCCTGAGCCACAAGCTGGGGACCACCGCCGTCTGCCGTCTCGCTGCTGCTCCCGGGGTGGGCTTGGCGGGCTGAGCTGGCTCCGTGAGTGTACCTTCTGCACCCACGACTTGTGCACACGGACACTGGGGTCACGGCAAGGGCAGGCTGGGTCCCTGCCCAGAGCTGGGATCGCTTTCTGGGCGGCTGTGAGTGATGGATGGGGCTGTGGTACCCGCCTGGGGGGAGCGGGGCCTGGCGGTTTGCTGTTTCCTGTGCTGGGATCAGACGCCCTGGCCAGTTGCTCTTCCCAGTACCATGACCTTCTAGCTGGTCAGTCCTGTGGCGCTGGCAGTGCGGGCACCAGGGCCCGTCCCTGGGACACGTCCCATCCTCGGGCTCTCTGGCAGTGTGCACGCATGTCATGGAAAGATGAGGGGTTCTGGGTGCAGCTGGAGGGCTCAGGCCACAGGGCATAGCAACTGAAGTCGAAGGAGCTGAGCCTGAGCGAGGGGTGGCAGGGGTCCCCAAGGAGGGCCCCGCACCCCCCCAGGGGTCACCAGCTGGGCTGAGCGCGGCCAGCCAGGACATACACCGTCTTGGATTAGGTGGGGCAGGGCAGAGCAGGGCAAGGTGGGGAAAGTGCTAGAACAAAGATCCCCACCCATGTGCCTCTGTCCCAGGGCTCCCCCCACAGACCTGGGGGCTTGTCCTTCTGTCCTTTCCAGAGACAAACCAGATTTAGGGTGGAGGTGGTCCTCGGGGCCTTCTTCCTGAGCAAACACCCTGTGTCCTAAGAGCTCGGGGAGGCGGGGCATCTCAGGATAGAGGCCAGTCCCTTAGCTGAATAGTGGAGGAAGCTGGGGCCCAGGGAAGGAAAGTGACATGTGCCCCAGGGAGTGAGTGGGACCCATGACAAGAGC